AAATAGGTCCAGGAGGGGTGGAGCCAGGCTCCACCCCTTCCGGCAGCACAGGTGAATTGCCTTCACCTGTGCTCCTCTGGCTGACTCAAGGCTCACCTCAGGTGATTAATCAGAGGTTCAGGCCGTGACTCAGCAGTTCCCATACAAAATGCTATTTATTTATGTGATCATACAAGTGCCGTTGTATTTTTTTCTAAGTTTTCTAAGTTGTACAAAGCATTTTGCAGCTCAAATGGAGTTGGGGATATGCTCTCTATAAGCTCCATGGTTCGCAGGGAAGCTGCAGTATTTGGCATGCCATCAGGAACTGGAGGAGGCAGGGACTAAATGTGCATTGTTCTTTGAATTTTCAGTGTGCAATTTTTATGCAGTGAAAAGCTACAGGTTCTAAAGCTGTTCAGAAGCTCTAACAGATCTTCTCTCTCTTAGACACTGCATATTGAAGCTGATTTTGCACATTTCCAAAATTTGGCCACTTCAGCATCAGGAAAACACAGACAAACTCAGGGATGTTCAATATTCTCTAATGGCTGAGCCAAATACGGAAAGGCATGTGAGTCAAATAAACCAAGGCACTGTGAAGGTTTTCCAGCCTTCTCTAAGTAATTCATGTCAGAATCAAAGCATAACATTTTGCTGTTATACCTCAGTAACTTTTACAGTAGGTTTCCTTTTTAAACGTGCTTTCATTTTTCCAGTTTCCTGCTCTTAGAATCATGTACATTGAATCCCCTGTTTGGATTTTGTGGACTTTTGATCATATTCCTTAGAAGATAATGCTTTTAGAATGTCACACACATCTTGAACACTGAACAACTATCATTGTTGACAAGGTGTCTGACCACAGACCAGTGTTCTGAATTAAGGAGAGCATTTTTTTTAAAACCAAACTTCCTGCACACTCAAGTTACAAGGAAATCGCCTTATTTTTACATGGAAACAGATGTGTTAGAAGCCAGCAACGGGCTTGGTTCATCTCTGTCCTGTTATCACATTGTATGGGAACTGCTGAGTCATGGCCTGAACCTCTGATTGATCACCTGAGGTGAGCCATGAGTCAGCCAGAGGAGTACAGGTGAAGGCAATTCACCTGTGCTGCCGGAAGGGGTGGAGCCAGGCTCCACCCCTCCTGGACCTATTTAAGAGCTGGCTACCAGAGGGGAAGGATCTCTTCTGGAGATCTCCTCTTTTGGTGTCTTCTGGTGAGCTCAACCTAAGGGTAAGCTCTTCCACTTATTCACTTTTTGTGATCGTTGTCTGCTTTGCCTTACTCTCTTGATTATATTGCAATTATAACATCTTGATATTTATTGATTATACACAATTATATTATGATTATAACATCTTGATTATACACACATTCATGCTTGCTTTTCCTTGCCCTTGCAGAACTTTAGAGAAACTCCTCTCAGTACATCAGCAATCCCTGAGTTGAAACAACACAAAAATATCTTGAATATGATCTCGTGTGTTTGTTGCAGACAAGTACAGACTCTTCCATTGTTCCTGGTAGGAAGTTTATAATATGTTTTGACCCTGAAAGGGATAATATATTGACAAATCTGTCTTCACTCTTACAACTGGAGCACAGTTAAGGAAGGTCAAGGATTTTACATTACTGTTAGTTTAATTGTATTGTAACAGCTACTGTTTTTCTTTTCAGTCTTCCTAAGGACAATGGAGGGAGCAGAAAGAAGAGGGAGAACACTTAAGTAATTTATATTTCACAGCTTTAAATGAAGTTTTCATTTTGTTTAAATTGCACATTACCTTTGCCTTTCAAAAATTTTCCAATAAAAGAACTTCCCAAAATACAGCATTTCCAGGTAGTGGCTTTTCAGTATATTAAAGGGGACAATAAGAAAGAAGGAAACATTATTTAGCAGGGTCTGTTATGATAGGACTAGGGGAAATGATTTCAGACTAAAAAAGGGGAGATTTAGATCAGAGATAAACAAAAAGTGTTTTACAATAAGGGTAATGAGGCACTGAAACAAGTTGCTCAGAGAGGTTGTGAAAGTCCCATCCTTGGAGACACTCAAGGCCAGGCTGAACCTTGAGTTCTGAGTTCCCTGAACAACTTGATTTCACTGCAGGTGTCCCAATGAATTGCAGGAGAACTGGGCTGGATGACCTTTAAGCATCCCATCCAACTGAAATGATTCTATGATTCTGTAGTTCTATGACTCGAATCCTCACTTGAAGCATCTTAACTTGATTGTCCCTTTCTGTTTTGAAATATTATCCACACTCTGCTCACTTTCCTTACCCAGAGCTTTGTATTTGTTGGTTAGGAGGACTTGAACAAGGGAAAAACTCCTTCTGCTCCAGTCTCCCTTATCCTGCATGATTTTGTGATCTATCTCCTACGAGTTGGTAGCTTGCTTAGTTTCTTACCCTTGCAAGTACAGAAGAGAGGGTTATTGTGCTGACTGTGTTTTTGCATGATACCAAGCATCAATCTTTCTTTCTGATTGCAGCCTGCTCACCTGCTCAAAAAGTTTATTCACCTGGGCACACCTTGCACACCCTCTTCCCTCAGGCCCTCGAGGGGCTTCTAGATTCTGGAGTTCTCCACAGCTGAAGTTTTGAGCGGACCTGTCACTCCTTGGGAAGTTCATTTAGGTGCATACATCAGCCTGGAAAGTTGGAAGCCCCTCTGCCTGGGATTCTGTCTCAGCCTGATTGTTGCAGTAGGTGGCCACCAGATACGTTTCAATAGAGCACTGCACCTTGCTGTTCCCAGATAAAAAGAAAGCAGTTTGGATTTCACTCTCCCTCTCTGTCCTGCCTGTGTGAACTGCCACACAAACTGCCACACCATGCCTTCACTGCTCCTCCACTCTGTTTGTCTAGGTTGCCACATTCCTTGTCCCTCGCACTTCCTAGTGGCTGCTTGTACAAACGTGAAGGCTCCTGGCCCAGACCCCTCTGTGTAACCTGCTCTTGTGAGGACTGTGTTCTCCTGGTGGACCAGGTGAGCTCAGGGTAGCTCCCTCCTAGCCCTTTCTTCTCCATGGTTTTTGGAACAGCCTACTGAATGGCAATTCCCAGCTCCACTGCAGAACATGCCCGCAGTGGTGCTGATAGCCTTGGAAAATGACTCATCATTTCACTTTAATTTAGCCTGAGGGAATTTCAAAACCTCAACCACCCTTATCTGATGAGTTGTGACAAGATGTTTTTGCTAGAGGAGTGGTGTTGGAACAGATGATTTTCAGAGGCCCCAAACATGACCATTCTGTGATTCTGTAATTCTGAGACCATGATCTAAAAATGGCCTAAGTTCATATTGGTCCTCACAGGACAGCTGATTCCTATTTGGAACAGAGGAATAGAGAGGCATGTGGCAAAGACCAATCCCTGTTCCATCCTGGAACAAAGTCCTTCTGTAGAGGCATGAATAAAGCCATTAATTCTGCACAGGGAGGCCTTTGTCTCACCTTCCTTATCTGGGATAAAGGTGGCCTTTTCCACCACCTCCTTAGGAAAACTGGGTAAGTGGCTGAACCAGGCAATGTAAGTTATTGAACCAGGCAGTGTCTCTGATGAAGTGAGTCTTCCTTGGCAGGCTTAATAACTCCAATTTAGGCTTGATCACATCTGTCAATCCTATCTGAGTATTTTCCTAAAACAGCTTTGACTTTATGGGGACATGACAATGCCTGCAGAGAAATTGACTATTTCCGTTTTACACAGCTGTGCTGTTCTCACGATACCCAAGGGATTCCAAGGACTCAAAGTGCTCAGTGTTTGTCCTGGGGCCTGCCAATGCCTTTCTGTGTATCTCAAAACCATCCCAGAGCCTCATCATGGAGGAAGGTCAACTCAGCCCTGGCTGGCAGGAACTGGCCAATAGCCTCTCTTGTGTGCAATAACCCCTGAGGAGAGATTATTATCTCCCAGCGGGCAGGGTTAGTCAGACACACTCAGATATGCTTCTTTGAAAATGAAAAGTGGGGAGAGCTGCAGTGTCCTCACTGTGTCTCATCCCTTGCCATCTCCAATACCCCATCACAAGTTCAAAGGCTGATGCAGTCTGTAGGGCCTCACCACTGTCAATGTGCTTCTTGAGATTCAGGAAGTTCCTTCTCAGGCAGGAGCCAGACCTATTTCACAAGGACACAGCTGTCAGAGCGAGACAAATACATCTCTGCTAGGGTGAGGGAAAAAAAGAGGAAAGGGTCCCTTGATGCAAGGAAATGGGCATTGCACTTCCCTTTGCAGCTAAATCCTTCAGCTTGGGATCCTTTACAGGCTGGCAGGGGACCAGCATCTCATTTGTAATATTGGCATCTCTTGCAACCAGGGAAATATCCCAGACTTAAACAAGAGGGGTAGGGCCATCCAGTCTCAGGTGTACGCTGCACCCTCTTTTGGTACTTTTGGTTTACTATTCCAACTGCAAATATGCAGACAAATATGCAGAACCTTCTTTGGTAAGCACTTTTAGTTCTGTTTTCCAACTGTAAAATGAGCACAGAGTACTCTGCACCGTTTCCATATACAATTTTGGTTTCCTGTTCTGACTGCAAATTAAACACATTTTCAGTTCCTTCTCTGACTCTAAGCGATACCCCAATGTTTGAGACACTGGAACAGTTATAGTCTTCTTCCAGAGTGATGTTTTGGTGCTTAGCAGAGCTAAGGAGAAAAAGAAAAACAAATTTATTATATATTTTACAAACACAATAGCGATTATCAAAGACATAGATACATACAGTCACATTGAACCAATATTTACAAGCCACTTTCCACATCCTGTGAGTCCCAGTGATTCCACCACTGAGGCAAGCCAGAATCCAGACTCCATTCATTAAAACAATCAGTCAGCAGCATGGCTTGGAAAAAATCCCAATTCCTGCCTGTGACCTATTTCATTTTTGCATAGACTTCTTCAACAGAAGTGGTGCTGTTGTTGATGGCGACAGAACATTCACGTTCAGTTAAGTCCAGCTTACAAGACATCTCATCTTCCTTGTTACAATAGTAACATATCTAGTGATAACTGATTTTATATTAAGGACGGAGGGGACTCACCCAGGTTCACCATCACATGTAGGGCAGTGCTGGAGTGCAGATTCCTGAAAAAACAGCTGCCATGGGTGCTCCAGTGGCCTCCTCCCAGCTAGGCACTCTGCTCCTCCTTCTTTGGGACTGCAGGGAGCTGCTCTGCAGCCATGTTTGCTTCCCACAACCAGCCCAGCTTGGCCACATGTGAGCTGCATTGCCACATGCAACTGCCAAACCCCATCACAGCTGTGAGGGGAAGCAGGGACACAAGGCACACCGGATACCCAGCCCAATGCAGAGCTCAACTCACCATGAGGCAGCAGGAGCACCAGGCAGTGGACGGTCCTGGGAAAGCCATGGCAGCAGACGTGATCTGTGCAGTCACCGCACACTGCATACTCCTGGTCGTCATGCCGCGGCTGGGCATCCAGGCACTCCCAGTCAACAGCAGAATGCACCCAAGCTACAGGGTATCTTGCCACCTAATATCCTGTCATGTTCTGTCAAAAACAAAATACACTAGCTATATTTGGGAAAGGAATTTTGTGCACCCAGAACATTGTAGCACAGTAAGGACAGGACGATTGAGAGCAAGGCTGCCTAGAGTGGGCCAGAAAAAGCGATATACTAGAAACAAAGATGGAAATTGGAGTCCACTGACCTAGTGTGGAGGTGCCGTATGAAACAAGTAGTGGTATCGAAGTATCGGTGATAAGGATTTGGCTGGGAGACGTACTGAGAAAACCAGGTACCGTAAGCGATCAAGGTGCCTTAACATGCACTAGAGTGCCACCTGCTGGATCCCGTCGCTGGTGTTCCCTGAAGGATCAAACAACTGCTGTAGGTCTCGCTTTTTACTCTCTTATCAGGGTCTGTGGTTGACCATGTTTGCCACGTTCCTTTCTAGAGTGCACTGACCTTGTGTGCAGGTGCCGTAAGGTCCAAGTAGTGTCCTGTGAATACGCTGCGCGTGTGCGTCAGTCAGGAATGCATTGAGGTCTGCCATGCTGGACATGGGTCAGTGCTCACTGCGGCATGATGCAGGTATGTGGGGAGCTGTTTGATGTCCACCTCTG